GCACTTGACTGCTAACCAGAAGGTTGGCAGTTCAAACCCACTAGTGACTCCACAGAAGGAAGGCTGGGAAACCTACTTCTGTAAACATTTACCACCTTGGAAACCCAAAGGGGGTCACTATGAGTCAGAATAGACTCAATGGCAGTGAATTTGTTTTTTTGTTTTGTTTTGTTTTTGAGACATAGTTATGACCTCTCTCACCATACCTGGCCTAGTGCTGGGACTGTACATTGAGCTGTGGGATAACAAAGAGTCTGAAACATGGTCCTCACCCACAGAGGGTTTTTATATGGAAAGAAAAGACTAACAAAATGTGCTTCATGGAGTCAACCATAAGAACAGTAGAAGTTGAGGAAAGGAAGAGAAAGGTAAAGTTAAACAGGGTCTTGGACAATATGAATCAAGATCCTTAGGTAATAAATGTTTTGTACTTGGCTGATAACCAGAACCCACCCAGCAGCACCAGCAGCCCCTCAGAAGAAAAAGTCCTGGGGATATGCTTCTATAAAGATTATACCAAGAAAATTCTATGGGGCAGTTCTACCCTGTAACATGTGGGATTGCCATGAGTCTGAATTGACTTGACCGCACAACCTGACAACCTGCTTTAACAATTTCTCATTCCAAAAGTATATTCTGCCATGTATTTTAGGTTTCTCACTTGGAAAAATGTATGTAGTGACATTACATTACCTTATTGGACTTCAGACATTTGTTCAGGGGTGGTAAGAATGTGTGTATAAGTGGTGCCCCTTCCCTCATTCACAGCCATGGCAGTTATCGCTTGTTGATCTCAACATTCTTTCCAGATGAAGTTGAAAGCAGCAGGCAGTCACCACCAATCAACCTCTTCGACATCTCTGACATCCAATTGAAATGAAGCCAGTGAGGATGATTGGCCAACCAAATATTTTCACAAGGCTCTGATAATGGGAATTGAAGTTCTTTTATGTTTATACAGGCAAAAAGATGTGATAAGAAGTCTCTTCTGATAACCAGAACTGAGTGCCGATCCTGCTCACTCAACTTCGGAATCAAGTGCCCAGACGGTTACACCAAGATTACCAACGGCTCTGTAGGGGTTCGAGATTGCAGGTATTGGTTATAAGAAAATAAGTATGCTTGACCAAGGGAACTCAAGGGATTATGAATTTACATTGAAATGTCCTTTTTCAAAAACGACAAAGCATTTCCATTTTTCTTTCTCTAAGACTGCACTGGTGCCACAATGGTTAAGTTATGAGTTGCTAACCAGAAAGTTGGGGTTTTGAATGCCCCCAGACACTAATAGGAGAAATATATGGCTGTCTGCTTCCATAAGTTTTTACAGTCTTGGAAACCCTGTGGGGCAATTCTACTCTGTCCTATAGAGGTTGCTATGAATTAGAATTGACTCAATGGCAGTGGGTTTGGTTTTGGGCTTTTTGGTTATAAGATTGTGCTGAGCCCAAACTTAAGTATTCCACCTTTGATGACCCTGAATCTACTCCCTTTCTCTCACTGCCATTGAGTCAATTCCAACTCACAGTGACCCCCTTTGGGTTTCCAAGGCAATAAATATTTACAGAAGTACATTGCCCAGTCTTCCTTCCGCAGAGTGGTATGTGGATGTGAACTGTCACCCTTCTGGTTAGCAGACCTTGAGTCTAAAGCATATGTGAATCAATAATAACTGATTTACACTTTAATACAACATTGCCTATACTGCATTGCACGTAAACATTCTTCCTTTCTCTTATCCTTCTTGTTTTGGAAATCTGAGTTTTGTTTCATATGCAAAAGGTTCTCCCCTGAATGTGTTAAGAGC